TCACACCTACGGACAATTTAGAATCACCAATTAACCTCAACATGTTTTTTGGACCGTGTGGGAGGAAGTCGGAGAACCCGGAGAGAACCCACGCTGCATGGGGAGAACGTGCAAATTCCACGCAGAAAGATTCCGGTGCCCCTACCGGGACGCGAACCGGCAATATCTAAAATATATAAATATATACAAGTGATCAGTAAAATCTTAAAAATCAATTCTAAACTGTCCGAGAGGGGAACCAAGGGGACCCTTGGAGACCCCTATTTTAAAATGACCAAGACCAACTTTTGCAAGTGGCTGTCCTTACATAAGAACCCCAATGAACTCTTTGCACTGTCAAACTGGGCCACATGGCCATGATATACAGTCAGGTCCATGAATATTTGGACACTGACACAATTTTTTGCACTTCCACTCTGTATACCCATAATGGATATGAAATGAAACAATCAAGATGCACTTTAGGTGCAGACTTTCAGCTATAGTTTGAGGGTTAACAGTATAAGAATTAAAACACATTTTGTGTGCCCTCCACATTTTGAAGGGACCAAAGGTAATTAGACAAACTAACTTAATCATAAATCAAATTGTCACTTTTAAATTTGGTTGCAAATCCTTTGATTTGACAGCCTGAAGTCTCGAACCCATAGATGTCACCAGACGCTGGGTTTTGTCCCTGGTAATGCTCTGTCATGCCTCTACTGCTTCTGTCTTCAGTTCCTGGAAAACCCTCACATATAAAAAAAAGTTTGGAAAAAAAAAAAAAAAAGAAGAATGTGCACCAGAGTTACGGGAGTTTAGGGGAGCAGTTCTCATTTACATACTGACATTGATTTGATTGACGTACAACCGAGTGCTGGGGCCCCTTATTCTCTTTTCAAACACACACACGCGCGTACAAACACATTTGAAAAGAAAAGTATTTATCAACAGGAACTATCCCAACTTCCTCTTGAGCTTCCGCCCTTCAGAGTTGTTCTGTGCATGCTGGTCACTGCAGTGGCTTCAGTCACACATTCCTCTGGTAGCTTGTGGAAAAAGTCCAAAGAACAAGTTCTTGGGGCATTTTCCCTTCAGTTTTGTCTTCAGCAACTGAAATGCCCGCTCAGCTGGATTCAGGTCAGGTGATTGACTTTAGCCATTGCAGAACATTCCACTTCTTTACCTTTAAAAACTCTTTGGTTGCTTCTGAAGCATTTGGCTAAATATGAGAATGTATTTTTGCCCAAAACACTTGAGAATTAACCCTGCTGTTTTTGTCAGCAGTAGCATCATTAATAAATATAAGAGAACTGGTTCCATTGGCAGCCATATCGCCCACGGCATTATATTACCACCACCATGCTTCACTGATTAGCTGGTATGCTTTGGATCTTGTACAGTTCCTTCCCGTTTCTATACTCTTCTCTTCCCATTATTCTGGTACAAGTTGATCTTTGTCTCATCTGTCCATAGGCTGTCGTACACTGCAAACTGTAATCTTGCCGTCACCAATGGTTTACACTTTGTGGTGAACCCTCTGTATTCACTCTGGTGAAGTCTTCTCTTAATTGTTGACTTTGATACAGATACACCTACCTCCTGGAGAGTGTTCTTGATTGCACAACTGTTGTGAAGTGGGCTTACTTACACTGCTGATCTTACTGACTATACTGATTATTCATGTTATTTTACATTTCTGTATGTTTTTTTTCTACCTTTTTTCAAATATATACCTTGTTATTTGACTTTGTGAACATCTCCCTTATATAGCCAGATCCATAGAGATGGCGGCATGCATAGATACAGCAGCCCCTTCAGGAGACACCAAGAGTGAAAGTTTTGAGTGTCTTGTCTATCCCAGACGTTCATTCTGCAAAACTTACAACCAAGAGACTTTGCTGAACATCAGGGCAAGAGGTCGCTAAAATTGTGGCGCTCGGTTGTGATCTGGTCATACTACACCAACACGATCGGAGACTATGCGGTAGTTACCCGAGAGAGAAGGAAGCGCAAGTGGTATGAATGTAAACAAAGGAGGAGGAAGAGAACTGTTAGGCTAAAGGCTAACCCCTCCAGACCAGCAGGACCATTGCTCCTACTCTCCAATGTCCCCTCCCTCGACAACAAGCTGGACAAGCTATGTTTGCTGGGAGAAACCCGCAGAGCGTGGAGGGACTGCTGTGTGCTTGGATTGGGGATACATGGCTCCATGACAACATCCCAGATGGCCATACAGCTGGAGGAGATGACATTCAGGGTCCTCGCCAGGATTTTTTGACAGTGTGTCAAAGCGGGGGTGTCTCAGTGAATACTGCTCATAGTTAGCGTTGAATGCGCTAGCGAATAGCAGCGGTAGCAGCGAAGACGATGGTGGAGAAACTGCATTGGTACTTGTTAAATATTCTTCCGCTACTTTCAGGCAGCAGCG